CTTGAAGAACAATCCATTTCTTTAAATGAGATCACATCATGTACCTTGATGCATAACATCATACTCGTTTTGGATATAGCCCAATTAGTATTGTGAAGGTTATGATATAATACGATTAGTTGTAAATCCCCCGTTTATAAGCGTTATATCATTTATCATTTCCAAACAATTTTGTCTTATATCAAGAACATTTTTAGTTTGTTTTGAGATAATAGGAAAGAATACTTGAAACTTCTGCTAAAATCAAAATGTCTTATTTTCAGTTTTTTCCTGTTATTTTTATTACTACTATCAGCAAAAGTTAAAGCAAACCTTATGGAACTAGCATACAAAGAATATCGGTACATGTATTCCCATCAAAAACTTTCTGACGTCATGTTAAAAAGTATTAAATAAGATTAGAAACACTATACGAATTGATATACATGTAGTGTTTATTGTAATGCAGAAACGACAGAAGTTTCCACTAAGCTTAGCAATGTATTCGTGCTGATCTAAGACGACTGCTTGTTATATTACCTTTATATATCATTGCGCGTACAGTTTCAACATCAGTATCTTCACGGAAAAAAGTGAAAGCGCTGTAATATTCGTTTCAAGCTTTTTATAACATTTTGTTTTACTTTAAAACTTACGTTAAGCAACCTGACTTTCAAAAATGTCAAAATAATTGTTTGTTTATTTTTTAGATATGTTTTATCACAATTTGTTTCAAAGATATTATCATTATCAAGAATGGTGTATTTAGTAGTTTCACTATTATAAACTTTTCCATTTGACTGTAATGCAGTTAGTTCCAACTAGGCATATACTACATATAGGTACACAATTTTAAAATTGTTGTTAAAAAAAATAAAACCGATATAGATTTCTTACTATTAAATAGATTACTTTTTACTCCATCTGTCTTTTACTGAACAACTTCGCAGCGGCCTGTATATACCCGATGATCTTATATTAATGGAGCTAGTTAATTTATTTTTTAATTAGGTATTAAATTATTTACATCATAAGTGGGTAACTAATTCCACAATACATCGCAAGTTTTAGTCTGTACTTTTTAATTTTTGTTAGTGATCTGATTGGGTAAGGGTTAATTGTCGGAGTTCAGTCTCCGTCTAAGTTTAATCATCCATAATCAGACAAGAGTGTCAAAATGTATCAGGTTTTAAAATTAACAACCTTATCAAAGGTTGTTTCTACTATGGATCGAATTTATCATTATTTATGAAATCTGACTTTAGTAACACACTGTATTCGCATCCTCGAAATTACAAAAAATAATTTACATAGATTGAGACATTTAGGTTTTTGGTGATAATCTACGTCTCAGATCATGATCATATGTTACGTAAAATAGATGAAGCTATATTAACTTAGAGGAATATAAGTTAGCTTATGTAAGGGTCCAAAGATCTTATCTTGTTCACCAACATAGCTTCTTACTTTTCACATGATTTGCAAACTACCGTTGTAAGATTAGATTAACGATTATTATTTCCTGTTAAACATGTCATTCACTATAATGGAACGGCGCCAGTAATCACTCATTTTTACGTTTTATATTATCTGTTAACTAAAACGAAGGTCTACTCAAAATATCAACCATTCTAAGCGTGTTTTGATGAAAAATGTCTGGTAAATATTTTCTACAATACGTATCTTGTTAGAATGCTATCGAAAACATGATAATCTACTTTCAATGCACCATGCAGTCCGTAATGACCCCATCGAACACAATAAATAAGTACTTAGTAAGTAAACATAAATAAACAAACCTTCGCTTTATCCAGTAAAATAAAAAAATAAATAAAACTTATATCATAAATTGTCGCGTCAGATTTAATGAAATTGCGAAAATGTTAGATAAAGTATCATTCTTATTATATATCTTAAGTATAATTACCCCCTGATTTTGATTTTCCGTAGTTTTCCGTAATCGAAAGTTCTATTACTCACATAGTAACAAACTTGGTATCTAAACAAAGATATAAACTAATGTAAGGCGTATATTTTATGACATTGTAGAGTAGTTACTCAGAAAGACACATACAAATTTTTCATCTTATTGTGCGTTAAAGAAAGTTAATCATAAACAGTTGTTAAGAAGAACACGCTCAAGTTAGACATTCTGGAAAACTCTTGGAGTGAATGGCATGGCATGGGAACTTTCATGTATTCGCTGCTATAAATTTGATAAAAGATGATATTAGATGAATTACAACAAATCGGTATTTCAGTATTTGTTTATCAAAAAGTTTCGACTTTACATATAAGAACCACTTCATACTTTTTTATTACTCCTATGACTCAATAAATAGCAAAGGAAAGTATCAAGTATGCAAGAGTCAATAATTTACTACACAGCGTAAGTATGCGAGAACTAACAGAAGAGTTTTGAACCCGTTGAGATTGCTGCGTACGAACTATGGTACATAATAAATTTGTTCTACACACTCAAGTCTATAAATTTGAAAATTATTCTCCATTTTATTTCACTAGCATTGCATTTTTTAAACTTTAAAGGTCATTTACCTTTGCTTATTATAGTATTTGAACTACAAGCGATGTTTTTCTGTAAACAACTAAAACTCTGCTTGCAGCAGCTTTGCTGTTCATAAATTTACTTCTTTCTGGTATTATGTATTTATCTTTATCTCAGTGTCCAAATAACCATCAATTTTTTAAAGGCTACAAGTCAGTTACCTTTTTTTCTATAATATTGTTGACATATTTCCGAATATCATTTTTTCATTTTTGTGCCTTACTACTCATTACGCTTATGAGTCACGAAGATCATACCCGCAAAGAATCCAATGACGTCGTCGATCACATTGAAGTTAGATGTATGACCGATACGTTCCTAATGTACTAAAAAAGAGGACAAAGGTGAAGTGGAAACAATATTTCTTTAACAATTAGCTTGTCATGTAATCAGAAGTGGAAGTAAGAACGAACATCCAGTCTTTCTTAAGTCATTAATGATTTTAAATTGTCGCTTTGTATGTTCTTTGAAAAGCAGGTTCTTCAGAACTATTATCTATATGAAGACACTTAAGTAAGTTTTTTCGTTTGACCGTTTTATCTTTGAAAGTACGTATTCATGTGGCTACTGCGCAACTGGTACTTCATTAGCGCATGACAACGATTTTTTTAACGAGCTGTTGCCGAGTTAAAATAAAATCATTGGCACGGGTCAGAGTTAAAAAAGGCAATAATTGAAAGGTATTTTAACAAAGAAATATTGTTAAGAAATGTTATTTATTTAAAAGTTTAACAGTTTGTTCATTGTTTTGGCAATTCATACAGACAAATTATGAGAGAGTAGCTCTGAATTCATAGTGCTTTTCATTCACAAACCTAACAAGGGATGTAGGGCAAAAGTACCGGAGACTATTTTCTTTGCTCTCAAAGCTATACTAGTTCTTACAACAAGACTTCTCAAAATGTGAGCAAATTTCAAGGATCACAACTTTCCAGTGTAGTTAGTTGAGATCACAACCCTCATAAAATGTTGTTTACGTTACATGCTTACAACTTCCATGGCAGATGAAAATATCACAAGCGATGGGTTGTAATTATAAATACAAAATCACAGTAATAAGTGGAAATGCATTGATAAATTCAAAGACGAAAATAAAAAAAAATGTTTTAATTAAAAATCGTTTTTAGTGTCTGCATTGTCAGAACGGGGAAGATTTGCTGGTCGGTAAGAGAAGTGCTAAACCACACTGTTAAAGTAAACTTTTAAGTTGCATGTATCCTTGACTTCGTTTATTTTGAAAAAAGAATCATTATTGATACTTTGTAGGTCTAAAATGCATTAAAATAAAGTATCAATTTGCATTTTTGGTGAAGTGGTTATGTATGGTATGCATGTTTGCTGTCAGTAAATCTATTTTTGATATATCTTCACACTACATTCATACAAGGTGTATGCATAAATCAACACAAATTATTATTATTTAATAATAAGGCTACTAATTTGTTTCAGCTTGTGATACATTTAAACTAGTATAAAGCAGATTTTGACCATGCACTTAAGCCATATGACTAACACCATCCCATTAGTACGTGATTTGAACAAGTTTGTGTACATACTTGACTACGTACATATCTTAAACATTGTAAAGTAAGTCTCCGCTGCATACTTGTTTTTTTTAATTTGTTACATGCAGTGATCTAAAAGGCAAGATATGTTTATCTGATATTCGAAAACTGAAAATAAATAAAAGAAAAAGTTACGAATTTAGAATTTTACTGAATAACTGAAATACTTTTTTCTAAGGCAATGGTTTATTTATGCCACCTAATGAGACTACTGTACTGTAAAGTTGATGTCCAACAATCCTTGTCGTCCTTGGTTTGTGCATCTCGTCTTCATGTTTACCATTACCATTCCATTTTCATCCATTCCCGACTTTTTTTACTCCACCAGAATGTAGCAGGCTTGTTTTCTTTTGTTACTTGCTAAATGATTTCCTAATGTGTAGTCCGTAGTCCTTAATATTAGTGGTTCAGTTGTGATTTTGGCCTTATTAGATAATATTATTGTACTGTGGGTTTTTTCTACAACGCAATATATAAGTTTTTAGAAAAAATAAGGCATCTGCGCTCTGTGTTTGAAGAACAAAATTTCTGTTCCCAAATTATCAATTTCAAAGTAGTACAGAAATCACAAGTCACAAGTTCACTGGTAATTACATATTATGGTGTCGTAGTGTTAAATTTGGATTAATGCTTAGTTATTTTTTTTTTGGGGGGGTTGATCTCATCTAGATTCACCCACCACGTAGCTTTCAAACAATTGTAACTATTTTTGACCTAAATTATTTCTTCGTGGCTGCTTCACAAAAGGTGACGTACGATTTTACTGTTCTTATGCATACCTACATGTACATATAAAACAATGTGACAACTGTGCCACAATATTTATTGTACAGATGATTTTTTGACTGTGTAGTACAATTATCTTATTAATTTATTAAGTAAACACATAATACGTATATAGTAATATATTTTGTATGTAAGTATGAAAATATATGATTGTGAAAACAATGAATAATCAATAAGCCTAAAAGAGTCTTAGACTAACTCTTGGGGTCATTTACAAAGGAAGTTACACTATACGTTATTGGGTCAAAATCCCAATCTAAACAGGATTTACGAATCATTATCGTAGGTACGTACATCAGTGCATTGTGTCATTGCTTAAACGACATTATCTTATTGCAAATGGTAATAATTATTACAGTAAAAAATGCAATACATTGTGGCAACTCTCAACAACTAAAATTATATAAATTAAAAATAAATAATACCATTTCATACATTTACAATTAAGATAACCGTCAATTATTAACAAAAATTCTCGACTAGCTCAAGAATCGCAACCTATATTTTTCTTCAATGAGATCCTCCAGTCAGGTATTTTCTTCGTTTTCTTTCGGTCGTTCGACAATTTCAGGTGGATCTGGAAGTGTCAAAGGCGGTGAAATAGCAACAGGTTGTTGTTCCAACATGGTCATAAATATCGAAATGAGATTGTTTACACCTATAAGATAACCATCTTCATGGTTCCCCACCTTCCATTTAGAACCATGTGTGATTTTTACGTCCTCTGGTAATTTAATAGTTTTGGCAAAGTCAATCAACCACACATTGGCGTTGTACCGATCGTGAACGAACAACAAAGAACTTCCAATAACCTGAAAAAACAACATTTGTATAATAAATTATGTTCTCTGAGAGACCACATTTCACTTAGATATATTGAGTACCGACACGATTTTCTGTATGTTGGTTTGATAAATTGTGACACTATAACGTAAATCTATTTTAATTGCTTGCAGTTGCACTTAGTTCATGTGTTTAACGGCTACACAGACATTTTAATCAACCTACCTCGTGATTACTGAAAAACTGAGACGTTTCCAGAGTAGCTTTAACAGCTTTCAATCTTTGAATATATTTAGGCTAAAATGAGGTACTGATTAGAGTCAAAACTTAAAAAAGGGTTAAAATCTTACCACAGCGTGTGGAAAACCGTCCGTAAAATCTTGAAAAGCCTTCGTTATTTGTTCCTTCGACTTCGTTGTTTTGAAATCTTTGCTTGAAGTACCATCTGCCTTCCGAATACCTTCTATTCGAAACCCTAAAGTCGCTGTCGATGAGATTGTTTCCCTCCACACCATATATCGAGGTTTGGTTACTCCTTTCAGCCTGTGTTCTTCTTCAGTTGGTGCATTCGAATCAATCTGACACATTTTTTCATACATGTCTTTCCGTAATTTAGGCTTCTCCTTAGCTTTGGCTAATTCCTCTTCTAGATACGTCCTCACACCAATTTTACAATCCATAACACACGGAGACACAAAATCGCCCAGTAAGTCTTGCAGTTGAATATACGAACATTCACCATCGTCACTCGCTACCAAGCCCTTGTACTCGGGAACATACGGTCTTAATACATCCTTCATTAATACCTACAAACCGATGATTAAAACAGTTCAATTATCCTCGGCAGATGCTTTACTTTAAAACACTTTTCTTCTTTGGGGCATAGTTTCTTGAGTATCGTTCCTTGGTCAGGTCCCGCTTTGAAGTTGCCCTGGTGGCCTGCGAGTTGTACCCATGGATACCTTTGTTTTTTGTACGTTTGAAAGAAGGGGGTCCACTGGACAATGTTGCGTAATTTTCGCCATCCAGATGGCTGCAACAAAAAACGTAATGAATATTTAAAGGTTTATGAAGGAGAGATGTAACTTTTTTGTACTTGAAAGACGACATGGTCACTTCTCGCTAATTAATGCAAAAAAATATTGGAACACCGCAAATTAGAGGAGGTGTTGACGTCAATGGGTTATCGAATCAGACCTCAAGTTCCGCTCGCGTCGGCAGGCAGGAAAATGCTAGTAGATTGCGATATTTTTCACCCGGGAAGTCTAGGAGATATATTATTGAAAGCGGTGATTTGCAACTAATCGATAAATGAGCGGACATGTGGTTTGTTTTTAATTTAATTGGCAAAATTATAAAGAATTGAGATAGAAACTGACGTAGAAGCGATTATCAACTTTACAAAAACCACTTCTGTAGCATGTATTTACCATTAACCTAATAAAGTAAGTAAACTTGAGCTATTCCCGTATTGCCTTGATTTATTCTAATTAAAAATTTTTGTCTGCAAATTACACAAGAAGGTGCTGAAGTTTTTTGAAAACATACCAAAAACGTATATTGCAGAAGATGTTTGTTTATTAGACGATTTGATTTCGGTAATAGAAAATACTCTTTCAGAAAAAACGGAAAAACTGTTGAGTGTCGTACTTTAGATTTGAAGACCAAAACAATTTTCAACTATTACGCATCTAATAAATGTTTGCTAGGAAACAATTTAATATAAGTAGACCATTTAGAGAAAATGTACAGTCATCGGTTTCGACCAATCACAATAGAAGGAAATATAAATTAAAACCATTACCTTTAAAGCTGCATATTTGCAATTGGAAAAAAGTGCAAAAAATAACATTTGCTTTGGTCTCCTGTTTAGAATTTTATTTTTTGCTATCAATTACACGCCAGAAGATGTAAGTATAAAGTGTGGAATTTCTGACTGATAAATGATAATCTAAAACTAAAGTTCGTACTTTGGTCTAAGTTGGGTAGTTTTTACAGTCACTTCTATCTCACAGATTATGTAATTATTTCACCTATGTTATAAAAAGTGTTTGTTAAATAAATTATAAAACATTTTACAAGGCAACTTACACAGGTTTGGTACTGGAAATAAACTCTTCTATATTTTTCATTTTATGGAAATTAATCTACGTCTTTAGTTGGTGTTACAAGACGTACTGGACAAAAATGATCCTCTCATTAGAGTTAGACAAACAAGCTATATTTCCCGTCCCCGTTTACGTACAACAGGGTACAAAAGACACCTGATTATACAACTGGAAGATTTTTGTTGATGTCACGCCAGATTATCTTCCAGAATCACACTTTAATGGACAGTGATAACACAGTCCTGCGTTATTCTCCAAGTGTGTCATTGTCGAAACCACGTTCTAATTTCTAGTTCGTCATTTTTAAACCGACTTGATAAATCACAATAAAAGTGTACAATCTTCCAATATTTACTCCAATTATCAAACTCAAGGAACTTATCGCTATCATATCAATGCTATTACGAAAAAATCACCAGGTAAACAAACACCAAAACCCGTATCAACATTTCAAGTAAATGATATGTCGTTGACGTCAGTGTACGTCGCTGGTATTGTATGCAAGGTAAAAACGCACTTTCCCTTGAAAAATAACCCGAAAATCCCAACCCACTTTAACATTGAAATGACGCACGCAAAACCCGCATACGACAATATTACTTATTATTTTGCAAAGCCGAGATCTGGTGTATGCAATCGTTTATTTCTCGTCATGAAATGCATTTGGTACTTCTTTGCGTCATCACTATTGTGTGTCGACAACGTGACGTTGGGCAGTTTTTTCAGCCAGACAAATTAAAAACGTCCAAAAGAGAGGCACGACAGTGACGTCAAATAAACTGAAATTCCAATTAGGGATTTCATAATTTTATTGAAACGGGTAACTGCGGTGTCATGTTTGGCATGTGTTTATTTGTTTTCAAATATGAAGGCTTTTACGTGTTGATGAAGTCATAAACAGTGGTAAAAGATAAGGAATGAAATTTAAATAGAACATAGAGATATGATTATGGGTTTTTTATTTACTTTTCGATACTTATGACAATGTCAGGAAGGAATTCCACTTAGCTTTCTGGGTAAAGAAAACACATTTAATTAAAAATGTGGTGATCTGTCTAAGTCAAGCAGGAATTAACTGATAACAAATAAAAGCAAATTATTTTAAAACTGGGTAAATCAAAGGGTAAACGGTTGCCCCGAATTTTCCAAGGTAAAATTTGGTATTCAACAAAAAAATTCACATAGATATAATGTATTACAATAGTATTATAACAGATTAGTAAATGTCACAAATTCAAAAAAATTTCAAACTAGCGGTGTTAACTTGAAAAACTGTTTTGAATAATTTTTTAACTTGCACAGTACATTTACTATTACGCTAGTTAACATTTTTTTTGCATCGATAAAATTAATGCCTGATAACACTGATTTACAAGTTTTAGTCAAGTTTTATATGTAAAGATGAAGATAACAAAAAAAAGTTTTAATTAATACGAAGTTTGATTATAACATATTTTTTTATAATATTTTGTAAAAACACCGTTCATAAATACGTAGTAAATATCATAAATATTTATATTTATTATTATATGGTCAGGTTAAATTAGATAGAGCAGTACCATTAACTTATTTACTGAAATGACAAACAGTTACAAATAAGTATTGATTGACTAGCAAAAAAATGGTTTCATACTACTACTAATTTTAATGTAGCTTAAAAAATTAATTAAGCCTTCATAATAAAATAGTGTAAAATTTTTGAATTTTTTTTCGTTATAACGAAACAAAATAATAGAGTTATTTTTTTGGGTACTATTCCCCAGCATTTTTGAATTATTATGCCAAGTAAATGCTTTAACGTGACGTAGAAGCCACAAAAGATGTAAATACCAGTAAATAATTTAATTAATAAAACTGACTTTGCAAATATGCAATTAAAGAACATAAAGTGTGCACTTATTAATTATTATTTCACTATTTCAACACAACATTTTTTTAACAATAGCGTAATGTACATAATAGTAAACAACCTAACATTAAAATAAGTAATTTTAACATGTTGTGTACTTAAAATTTTCTTTGACTAAGCGATAAAGTCAAGTTTGACGTCAGTAGACACAGAAACAATTATAAACCGATTTGCCCCTGGCTTATCTAACCACAGATGTTTGTAATTTTTTTTAAAATACATTTTTAATCCGACCCTGCAGTTTAGTATTTTTCCAAGTGACAGTTATAATGACGTTGTTTGGTAAATACTAGTTATCTTGTTGCTTTAACTCAATTTGTTGCGATGATTTCGCATTATCCACATTATATTTTTTGAATGACAGAAATTCCACCGAAATCAAAGTCCGAAACGAAAAGATGTGGAATCCCAATCCAAAGTTCAAAGAATCGTAAAAATGTGACGTCTGTCGATTGGTAGAAAGGTCGCTTCGCCAAAATTGTAACGTCTACAAACTTGTCGCAACATAGATATTTTATGATAAATGTAACGATAAGAATTTTTTTGTTCATTATTTACCATGCGTAAAGAGTAAGTTTGCCGTGATATATAAGGAAAATACGTTATAGTTATTATAATGAATTTCTTCAGAAATGGAATGTACTATTTTGTATGCGGCATTTGTTGTTATTTTAATTTGTTGTAAATACCTATAAATATTTTCTTTATGAGTCAAAGAGCGAGCGTACGCAATAGATATTACTAACATTTTCTTGTCAATAAATATAGTGTGGTGAATAAGAGTATAGAAGTTCCACAACATATATGTAAATACTATGACGTTTTATTCAAGCTAAATAGTAATAATTAGTATAAAATTAATTTAATTAATACTTGAAAATATGTATATAGAACGAAATAAATAAATAAATTACACTTAACCTTGCGACCTAATTATTGAGAGGTGTCATAGTACAAAAATCATGAGTTTCTTGGTGACTGCTTTTTATTAAAATAGCACGTTAAATATTTAAAAACTTTTTAACACTATGAGTGTTATTTTTAACGTAAGATAAAATAACCTTTCAGTAAATATTAATAAAAAAGTGTGTCAACATTATCCAAAATACTCATATAATACAACGTCATATTATTAAGTAGTGAGGGTCTGTGTTTGTGTAAAATTTCTTGGGTCAAACAAAATTTAACTACGTGATTCGTTACTGAGTTAAAGTGTACTTAACTTTTGTCACAAAAGTAACATGGGCTACGTACAAAAATGTCTTTATGACTATCTCCATTGACAGTTGACTGTTTTTACTACCACAGGAATGCCTTGTTTTTCTAACCGCCTTTAGATACTTTTGTCAATAAAATATGGATTGGGTAAGATACAGAATTATCTTCTCTAAGTATCTTTATCGTTGCAAATATATCTACTGTTTATTTTGTGTGTAACTGGAAAGTATTTCTTTGAACTTTACAACCCTTTTGGTTTACGACTACAACCAAACGCAATAAAACAGTTTCGTTGTAATTCGCAAATTACTGTGATTGTTTTAAGATACTGCATAATAGAAATGATTACATGATACAAACCTTATTTGAAATTATAGTGAACTTAACCATTTACTGTGGAATTTATTACGCGAAAGTGTAAAAATTAGTTTTAAAATAAAGTTCACTTTAGTTACCAACATTTCTCACTAAATAGAGATATCAAAAATAATGTCCAACGTAAAATTTTGAACTATTGCTTGGTAAATATAATATAAATATATAATATAAATTTTAAGTCATAGTTATTTTTAAAATTGTATAATATTAGCAGCATGACCGTTAGAACTGTGAGTAAATTAGATCAATAGATCAAAACTGAAAACGTTGTATGTAATTAATTATCATGCTTTAAATTAATGGAACGTCACCTAAGGAAAGGAAATCTACTTTGATCAGAAGTAGAGCAAAGGGGTCAACCCTCATAATAACTATGCAGTAACACTTATACTGTCTCTGCGAGAAATCATCCTTTGCTAATTCAGTAGAGTCTCAAACGGAAGTCTCCATTTTTGCCTTTATTACACAATATAAAAGGTTTGCACGTGATTCATTATTCAATTTAACAAATAAAACGGTGGTCTAGATCAAAATTTAAAAAAATGTTATAAAACTCAACCCCCATTAATCTTGACGAACTGCATAGGAAGATTTTCAAACAATATCTACTATTTTTAGCAAAACGAAAATTAGTCTCTACAGAATTTTGGTTTCTCTGTCTTAAAATTAGCAACCTCTAAATCTTTCGAATCTTAACGTTTTGATTCCCTTACGAAATTACATTATTGGATTTATATAAATATTTGAAACCAAGTCGACATAATATATACAGGATTTAAAGAATTCCTGTTTGAAATGTTCACAAACATAATCATAAATATTTAGAAATAAAATCAACATCACGTGAATAAAACTTTCAAAATTCTTGGCTAAAAGTCCAAACATATATTAAATAGCGTGGTATTCTTCATTGACAAACATAAAACAAACTTCTAAACGGTAGCATTTCTTAACGGTTGTCTGCTATTAATAAGGTAAACTATTTCATTTTATAAGGCAGACTTCATAATTCAAGCAAAGACACATCATTATGGCATAACTGCTCCGTAATGCAAGTGTAAGTTCCGGTCACGCTATAAATATTTACAGCGCGTTCTGATACTACCAGTATTTATGGTGGAATTCATGGCCAAATGAAAAATTGTTTAAAATCCGTACTTAGCACCCGGAAATTAGGGAAAAAGGGCAAAATTCGTATAAATTGCGTTTGAATGCACCTTTGTTTGGGTTTTGTGTTTAGTCCACTGAAAATTTCGAAACTACTATGAACACCTCAAGCAAAGAAATTTTTTGAAAATAATTTAAAAGCTACTGATAAAGAAAATTATACTGAATACAATTGTTGACACTAAAGATGAGTTTTGTTTTGCTTTTATTCGTAGAACAAAGAAACTATTATATGCAAAATAACGAGAAACCTGAAATAAGTACAATTTTGATAATCGCATAGGACAGTGATGACCTTTTTGATATCTAAAGTATGAACAATCAAAGTTATATTAATAAATTCTTTCTAGTGATTCTGATGTTATTCTCACATTACTTCTAGCAGAAGATATTAAATTGACAACTTTTACTGTCTATAATACAAATTATTCTGCTGGATATTACCTCAATACGAAAATAATCCAGACACAAAGTCCAGTTTGCGCATATTTTCTGCGATACTTCGTTATCTCTTTGAGCACCATGTCAACCGTCTTTTTTATAAATTGAGTAGCTACTAAAAATTAAAAGTGTCAAATTTATGATAACGATAACTAACATTTAACGCTAGCAAATAATTTTGCTGTTTAGAATGCACGTGGAATCTGCGAACGATTTGCTAAATCATTTTTCACAGTATTTTGAATATCGTTACCGTAAACAATAACCAAAACTGGACCAAATTTACCGCCTTGAACAAGACCAAAATTAACGTCGATTTGATTTCAGCAATAAATTACATTATCCACTTTAACTACTATACTGTTTAATTCGTCTTAAACATGTCTATGACACGAAGATGAATGTAAAAGTTCTAAATCATTCGAATCTTCTTTGATAAATTCCCGCTTAGTTTTCGTAGACTACTTTTAATAGCTTAAAATTCAAGTTTCGAATATGAGAGTGTTCTTCACCTTAGGCAACTGTATTTTGGGTATTTCGGGAACGTCTGAATCCCACTCTGAGCTGAGGTCATCGCTGGAGGCGTCACCATAATCGGTGGGAACTGGAACTTCCAATAAACTTTTTTGATACTGGTCGTAACCGGTGGAGGCGGTCGATCCTCGTCTGGAACCCGGGGTTCCCGGACTCGCGCTGCGCCGGAAAAGACTGCCACGACGACTCAAACGGGGCGAGGAGTCCGACCCTGGTGAGGGGGAGCGGGACGGCGAACGGTTGGGGGAGAGGCAACCCTCTGCAATGTGAGAGGAAAACTTTATGGGTAAGGAACATTCCGCCATTTTGCTTACAATCATGACGCTTAACGTTAAAATGATGTCGACAGGAAGGAAATGGAAAGACAAGAAACCATGATAACAGACAGCAGACAGAAGAGAGGCTACCAAAAAGCGGGCCAGAGAATTTAGTGCAAGACAGATTTTAGCAGAACCTTATCTTCGCTGATTGGTGTCAAAAAAAGATAAAGGTAATACGAACATTCCAGAAGTTATTATGACCAATAAAAAGTTAATGTCGGAATATCCTCCAGTTATTTGCTTCTTTAGCTTTTAATTTGATTGCTACCTAACGTGATATTTAATTATATAGCGCATATTAAAAAATCGGCAGCGTCATTGTAATTTAAAAGGAGGTAAAAAAAATACAAATAAATTAATACGTCTAAAACAAAATCAACCGGAGCTGATGTTATTGAAAGTTTAATTTCTGTGAAATCACTAAGTCATTATAGCCAATATCTGTTGACAATCAGCTTTTTTCACGTACAACTGTATTAACAAATATTTTTCTTTGGATTAGCGTACGTTAACAAACGAAGAATTCGGCTCTCTTAAGATAAGAAAGTGAAGGCTACAATTTGTGATCATTTTTTTGTACTTAGTGTTACACCTTCGAATAAAAAACTGGACATCTTTGTATTAATTATGTCTGCCTTCTTCAGTAATATTTTAATTATGTTATTAGTGAAATATAACACGCGCGCACTGTATATTCATTACCGAATATTTCTTTACAACTTGACTTCTACTCGCCTGTCACAGTATAGGAGCATAAAAAAATTTTCTGAGAGCACAACCCCAAAGAATATATCCTCAAAAATATAAAAAAATAAAAGAAGAAGAATGGGTCCGCATAGATTCCATGAAAATCAGAAACAGAAGAATGTGGTTAGTTTTAGTTGAAGGCGCACTAAAGAATTATTTTGTTATCAAATTAATTGCCTGGTCATGAATTTTTATTTATTTAAGAAAAGTTTCTTTGAAGTGTTCTAGTGAATTTAAGTGTAATTCGTACATTCAAAAAGACTAACTAAACCGAAAAATTAATCACAAAAATATGTAAGCAGAAATCGATACAAGGTAATTTCGATTCAATATGAACTACTGCAGTAGTCGAAATAAATTGAGGGTAAACAGTAAAATTTTATGAAATATAATTGACAATATTAGCTGCAATTTTTTATATTCATTTCTCTTTGGGGTTAATATGGTATTTCTTTCTTTTTTTATTTCAGTTGGTAATATTTGAAATGTGGAGATACTGCTGTTCGTAACATAACAAACGTAATTAATGCAGCAAAAATTTTCCCAACAAAAATATGATCGACCTTTGTCGAAATTGTATTGAATAGTGAATTTACCTTTGACGAAATAAGCACACAATAATCGTGTAATAAGAATTACGTGAGAATATATGGATATCTACGTAAGTTTGTTAAAAATACATCTGCCAACAGTTGTGTACATGTGGATATTGTTAATGCTCTCATTGAGAAGGTGAATCCAAACAATTACACTTTCCTTACCATAAAACATGTATTTGAAATTTTCGTCATCGTCACTACTACGCATTCTCGCAGATTCACTAACTGAGAATATAAATAATGATTTAACAGATCCTCAATTTGATAACCAAAAATCGCAAACGGAAGATCTCCAAATTTAGCACTTGCTACTTCAATAGATGGTGCATAATGATCAGCGTAGTGTGTGGACCGCAATCAACAGGATTACTTTATGTTTGTTAACAATATACTTTTCAAAAAAGAACATTTTTCAACAATGTTCGTATTTGTAAAGCAACCTTTATTATTATTTTCATTCAAAAGAAAAAAAATATAGGTCTCAAATTTTGTGTCGATTAATTGCTAATCGTGACATTTTAATAGCAAACATTCCAATAAGTTTTTATTTCAGTGGAACATTTAGTGAGGAAAGAAATGTAAATTATCTTTATACCCTTCTGTGTCACCCTGAAATTAAAGACAAAACAATTGGTAACATCTTCCGATGTAATAGAGGAGATTTAATTAAATAAAATTCATTCGACTTCATTAATTATTTCAAAGATCAATTTCCAATCGAAGTCTGATTTTATTTCTTATCTCAAAATTAAAATATATTCCAAACGCTTTTTTATTCAGAAGAAAATTCAAAAGAAAAAATGTACAAACAGGAAAAATACAGAAGGTTATATAAAATCGCAAATATACCCATAGAAATTCGAAGATTCTTGTTTATTTAAGTAGTGACAATGTTTGTTCTCTTTTAAATTTGTAAGTTTGAAAGTCAAAATTAGTTTCTAAACTAGTGGCTTAAAAAAATACGATTCAGCTTTGTTTTAGAAGATGGTTTGAAAATGATCATTGTCCACAACTCACTACACAATATACATTTTTAGTAAACTGCACTTCAAAAAATTACCAATAAATAAAATACCAGCCATTACAGAAATAGTTAAACAATTATTCTAATATTTTGTGATTATTATATTCTTACTTTAAATATACAATATTTAACAATATTTCCATAAAATCGGCAAAATTTGTAGAATATTACAATTAGACTTATTAGTGCTTTCAAGAAATTACGGCCAAAGTTAATAACGTATAATGTCTTGAGATTTCAGTTTTGGAATAGTAATACAATAGTTTAGAAATTCCAAAATAATTAAAAATTTGTGTGCAAAACGAAGACAAATTTAAACAAAATTGACTCTGCTTTGTATCAAAAAAGCTAAATGTGCTTTCGCTAGTCACCTTAATGTTGGTTTGCTATTCTCTAACCAACATCAGTAAAATTTATGTATTAAATATGTGTATGCTAAATAAAAGAAAAAAATGTTTGAGTACGATACATAAAAAAGACGAGTTTATAGTTATTCTTATAAAAAAATTGACATATGTGTAACCGAAACCAAAGTTTATTATTTCGTAATTCATTTCGGTGTCAAAGTCTAGACATTGTATATACACATTTCGAAGATCATCATCAAGTGACATTAATAATTGCATTAGACAGTTTACTTTGTTAAATGAATAACATTAATAATATTTAACTGAAAACGAGAAACCTATTTCCAGGATACATTGTTTCGGGGATCCTAAAACTTTGTAAAGATATAAATAAAAAATCGGTTGCTTGTGACTAGTTATAAGTAGGATTTTGACACAAAGATAAGAATGGTCATAGATCTAAATTTAACCATTAGTTTAAACCCGCTTTAAATAAATGTGTATCAATCACGCTATAACAAAACCAAAAATTATGTAGTAGAGTACTTATTTTATCTTGACTACAAATGAAATCACCCAATAAAGATAGTCTTCAGACAAAAAATACAAACAAGAGATTTTCAATTGTACACAAAGTTGATTAAACTATTTATTAATGGATTGCACATAAGCAGAGCAATATAAAAATTTATTGCTTTTTATCACAAGTAAAGATTAATGGTTTATTTTGTTAGCAGCAGTTATTTCCGTTTTTTTAAACACACTTGCTTTTAAATAAAGGAATTACAGATTAAAATTAATTTTTATGCCTTTCACCATCAAATTATTTGTTTTGAGTTTGAGTTATACAATCCAGACCTGATGCATTTTTAACCGACAGTACAGATAAAACACTGGACTTGCAGTTGTTACTACAACATTTAAACAAAATTTTATTAATAGTCACAACAAAATAAAGGATTTATTATTAGCACCAAACATATCATGCAGATAATCAGTTTATGATTATTGCTACAAAAATTGAACTAAATTGCCGTTTTAGATCGTTCGTGATTTCATAATGACGTTTATCGGTAAGTGTTCCTTGAAATATTTAGTAATACCAACAATAGTGCAACGTTTTGTTAAAAGTTGTAACCTTATTTCGAAAAACGTTACATACCTAATTGACACAGGTACGCAATTGACGTCAACGAAATTCCTCAATGAGTTCACACACAAATTGCCTCATTTTCTATAAAATTGACAAATCTAAATTCGGCGAAATGAGTCTGAACTACCCAACCACTAACTACCGACGACGAAAAGGCTGCATGTCAACGAGAGATTGGGAGAAAACTAGACCCTGTCAAACACAATCGTGCATGGTTCTCAGACCGAGAACACTTCATTAATTACAATCCAATTAGAAAACCCACACCAACACAGTTGAAAAAAAAAAACTTGGAACTACCAAAGAAGCGCTCGATAAAGGTCAAAAAACAAAATGTCATCGACATGGTACAACAAACAATAGAAAAATGTCAACATCAAAACAACATAAACAGGTGTCGAAACCGTGACTATGCAAAGACGACAGAGCAATGAGCACTAGCTCTCGAAATTCCAGATATACCTGATATCATCTTCTGAGGGTTGTTGTCGCAGTGGTCAAAGACGCACGGCGATGGCGAGCACGTGATCTCCGGCGAGTTGGGAAAATAAGAACAGGCACAGCCATCTTCGGAGGCGTTTTTCGACATCACGATTTCTGGTATGATATAACCGTAGATCTGAGGCATTATTCTTGCGCGTTCACATGGCACGAGGCACTTTTTGGCACCGAGACGGAGACGATGCGATGGAGGGCATCCGCGCCTTTTACCCGAGTTTCACTTGTGGATTTTCACTCTTGGACGACTTTCTTTGCACTCGCGTAGATAAAATAGACACGCGGTGTTGTACATATGATACAAGCGGGTTCGAATGGTATGACGTCCGCGTTAGAGGCACGCAAGCGTGCGGAGGAAAAGACAATTCACTGCGAGTATGAATGAGGTGGAAGCTGGTCAGTGCGGCTTTGCCAGTGCTGCCTTCATGTCGAAGACTTTATAAACAATTAAGCTTTGATGGATTGATAAAAAGCGAGGTTCGGTTTAGGCGTTGAGGTGCGCTTTGGGAGGGACGAACAGAATGTGGGTAGGTTAAGCGAAGATAGGACGTGAATTGGTTGCATGCAGTGGTTCAGGGTTTACGCCGTCGTAAAACGGAAACCGCGTAATCATTTGACGAAACGAATGACTAACTTGAATATTCACAAATTCGATGTTTGAAATACATTAAACTGGAACGGTGTAAGCAATTCGCTAAATTCGATTGACACTTGGACGTTGGACGCAAAATACTAAGAGCTGCGTCAGGAAAGAAAGTTACCGAAATGCTGTCGATAAAACAACTCAGAAGATAATTTTTTG